TCTGGCTCTTTGCATTTGGGTCCTCGCACTTGCTACACCCGACAACTTATGACAGGTCTCCCCATCTCCTCTTTGTTGGTCTTTTTGTGCTGTGAAGCATTTTGAGCAGGACCAGCCTCTCTAGGCTGCCACAGCTCTGCACTGTCCACAGCCAACTAAAGCAGAGCTGCACCACAGAGCTAATTAAACCATTATCTGCACGCTGCCCCAGAGTCTTCAGCTCGACTCGTCCCATCAGGATATCACAGACACATAGGAATATGCCCTTCATTTTCTGAAAGCAAGAGGAAAGAAACCTCTTCCACTAGTAAAGGTTAGAGGAGATGGAACAAACAACAATGAGTTTGAATGCTTTGTAAAATGCAAAGAAATAAAATGCAATGAATTTATATTTTGGTCATGATAAAACATGGAGAATATATGTAAAAAAAGATAAAATGCAATAGATTATTTTTTTTAATTTGATGGAAGCAACAGGTCTCAAAAAAGTTGAGCCATGGACGTGATTACCGCTAACAATGCGTGCGAAGAGCAACTTCAGACATTCAGGAATGTTGTTCTTATGCAATGCAGGATTCCAGCCGTGGATTTTTTTACTTCATCATCCACAAACTTGTTTTCACTGAGTGAAAGGTTTGAATTTCAGGCAGGCCAATTCAGCATTGTCTTGCTGAAATATGAAGGCCTTATGTGGCTCGAAAACCTCGAAAACAAATTATATAAAATTCAAATTTGGATTTGTCTGACTACAGAGTAGTTTTCCTACTTTTCCTCCGTTTATTTTAAACACTCTGAGACGATGTAGCATTCCTGGATGTTTTGTTCACGTATGGCTTCTTCTTGCATGATAGAGCTTTAACCTGCATTTGTGGATGAAATGATGCGCTGTGTTCACATACAATTGTCAGAATCGTGCCTGTTGTTTACAATTTCATACTGAACATTATTCTCAAATTGTACCACAATTTGTTTATGCATTTTTCTCTTTTTTTGCAGAACTTTTGCTCATCTGTACTTCTGAGAAACACTGCCTCTCTAAGATGCTTTTTAAATAAAACAATTATCTGCAATAGCTTCCTCCAGCTGTACCCATTTTACACACTTTTGTTGTCCCGTC